GCCAACCTCCCTGGCCCAGGGAAGGGGAGTGCGTGCACGCTGAGTGAGCTGGAGGGAGGTCCTGTGACTGCCCACTTCTATACAGTTGGGAATGAGGGCCAGAGAGATGACGTGATTGCCCCAGGTCATGCAGCAAGTGCCAGAGTCTGCGCTGGAACCTGGCAACCTTGCTGCACAGCATCTGTCTCCACTCCCCACCCCTGGGCACCAGCGAGACGGTCAGTCCGAGTTTGCACGACCTAATTGGATTTGGGCAGGTCGGATCAAATTAGATTCGACCTGGCGGGCAGCCTGGCTGGCTGGCACCAGGCCCCTGAAGACCAGGCTTTCTGGGAAGGAGTCTGAAATTACATCTCACTTCCCCGCCACCCTTGGCCCTGTGGTTACTCTCCCACATCAGGACAGGGAGGTAGGCGGGGTGGCTGCACCTGTCCCGGGCATCCCACAACCATCTGCTTAGGGACAGAAGCCCCAGGAAGTGGCTGAGAAGACTCCAGGCCACATGATCCTGGCAGCTGGTGGTGCCTCCAGGGTGCACCCCGTAGCGCCTGCTCCCGGGACTGTGGCTGCTCAGGGGAGAGCCAGGGCTGACCAGGAGGTTGGGCAAAGAGCAGAGGGAAACAGCACAGCCACACACCAGTGCTTGGGGCAAGGGGAGCGCAGGCACCGGAGGGGGGGAGCCACGGAGCTCCCTGGCTCACACTCGCCATGGCTCGTAATTGTGGTTGAGGAGTCTGGACTCTCAATGAGGAAGGGCAAGTTCGCGTGTGGGACGGAGCAGAGGAGCAACGATGCAAGGCGGTCAGCCTCTCCAGCACCACCGCCGGTCACTACCCCTGTCGCACCCCCATGGCAGCAGGTGCCGCCAGCGCAGACGCCCTCAACCTGGTACACGTGAGGGGGACAGGTGCCCGGAGGCTGCAGGCCCAGCTGTGCCCCCAGGGGTTCAAACACCATGGGCAAGAATCAGTACCCACCCCCCACTCTGCCCTCGGCAGGGCACTCCTCTCTGAGGCCTCTCCCCTGCTCTGGAAGATATCCTTTTTAATAAAAAAGACACTAATGTGAACATAATACATTTTTAATTTCTATTTTTAAATAAGTTAATTTAAGCTTCCCTGTTTAATTTCTAGTATGTTAATTATGAGTAGCTACAGATAAACACAGATTCTTTGGGCTTTTCTATAATTGCCAGAAATGTGAAAAGGAGCTGAATCCTGCTGGCTCCAGACCCAGCCCCACCCCTGCCCTCAGCTGGAGAAGCAGAGGAGACCCGAGGGCCCCGGAGCCTGTGTGGGGCCTCAAGTGAGGGCAGATCGCCCGCCCTCGGCCCCGGTCCTCAGTGGGGGGCGAGGGGGCTGGGTCCGACTTCCCAGTGCCCATCAACTGTGACCTAGAAAGCTAGGTCACTCCCCCAAGCTGTCCTTTGCCAGCAGAACAGCGACATCGCCTTGTTTTGTTATTGGTTTAGATTCTCCGAAAAGAAGCTCAGCCCTGACTGGTGTGGTTCCGTGGGTTGGGCGTCATCCCACAAAGTGAAAGGTGGCCAGTTTGACCCCTGGTCAGGGCACCTGCCCGGGTTGTGGGTCAGGTCCCTGGTCAGGGCCCATGTGAGAGGAAACCAATGGTGTTTCTTTTTCCTCCCTCCCTTCTCTCCCTTTAAAAATAAATAAATAAATAGATCTTTTAAAATCGTTTTTAAGAAAGAAAGAAAGAAAGAAAGAAAGAAAGAAAGAAAGAAAGAAAGAAAGAAAGAAAGAAAGAAAGAAATATCGATCACCGGTGGCAAGTCCATGGTGTGGGGGAGCTGAGTGATGTCTAACACTGAGTGCTCTGTCTCTCGTCCCAAGTTCAGACCCACGTCAGCTCCCCAGTGACAAGTTTATGGTTGGTATTGATGACCAGGGTTTCCTGTCAGTTGTGACTTTTCGGCTGGCAATGGAAGTTCAGTCCCCGCTTCTCCACCACATAGAAGCATGAGATTCAGCAGGGCCCTCGGCTGTCCCGGCTTCGGAAGGAAGCGCGGGTCTGCTTGATCGGTGTCGGCTTCCTGTGCGGTCGTGGGACAGCCTGAGAGACACACGTGGCGTGGTGGCCTGGGGGGCGCATAACCTGTCAGGAAGCTCTGCAGAACTGACGGAGTTTGAGACGGGCCCAGGATTTTGTTTACAGGGGACAGGAGAAGCAAGGGGGCATGGAGCTCTTTGGGGGTGGTCAGCCAGCGGAGCAAGGTCATGGGCCTGGGGACTGTGCAAGAGGTGGCGGGCAGCGAAGCCAGAAAGAAGGCAGGATGCCCGCTCCCTTTATATCTGTGGGCACCAAGGAACCACGAAGTCCACAGGAGCAGGGAGTGAGGGTGCCCCTGGACGCAGCCCACGCTGACAGTGGCCAAGGATGACGGGCAGGGAGGTTGCTCATCGGCCACCACGTGCTGGCCAAACCCTCGCCAGGCCAGTCTCTCAGAAGACCAGCAGAGGCACTGAACACGTCTCCAGGGCCCCGGGAAGCCCTGCTGCCAGAGCCGCCTCTGTGGCAGAGCTGCTTGGCCACACCAAGGCCCCAAGAGGCTGCACTTCCGCCAGCCCTGCGGCAGGTGGCCCCGGCCCCAGGACTCCGTGTGCCTTAGTCACGGGGGACCTGCCATCTCCGGCTCCCTACGGCTGGGAGGTGGGAGGTAGGGCGTCGTCACTGCTGGGTTCCAGACGAGGCCACGAGAAGCGAAGCGATTTTCTCCGAGAGGCGCAAGCGGTCAAGAAGCCAGACTCTGCTCACCCCTGCCTGACCTCACCAGACCTTTTTTCTGAGACAACCATGTGCTGGGCTGGCTCGTACCAGCCCTCGAGAGCCACTTCCATCCAGTGATGTCTTCGTGGAGTTCGGAGGGAGCATTTACACCACAGAAATTGGCAAATGCTGCCAATCGGCCCCCGCCCCAGCCTCACCCCTCCCCCACCAGGTGCTAAGCAGCCATCGGTGCGCCGCTGTGCTGGGTGTGCAAACCTGCTGTTCCGAAATGTAGCGAGTTCCCCATGAGCATGCAGCTTCCTGCGAAGAGCCCAGCACCCGAGTGCCTGGCCGATTCAGCTGCGGGTCAGTCGGTCATACTCTGCATCGGTCCAACAGTTTGATTTGAATGCGTAAGACAATCAAGGGGGAGGACTAATAAGCGCAATAAAATCAGGTGAAACCAGAGGTCAGCATGCTGAGCAGAACACAGGCTTCATTGATTTCAATTTTCTGTTTGATTTAACTTAAGAATTGTTACTGTAGCTGGCAGGACGTTTGTCTTCTTAGAGACATGTCGATTCTCAGTCCCCCCGACCGTGCATAAAGTGGATGGGGTTGACACTGAGCTAGTCCTTGAAGAGCCTGGGAGAGGCTGTCCGCCACCTGGGAGAGGAGGCCACCCGCGTGTCCCGGTCTGCGAGGTTCCTGCTGCCGTCCAAGGCCAACCCCTGGCAGTGGGACCCAGGAGCCGGGGCTCAGGGCGGTGTGTGGGCAGACAGCAGCTCCCCCTTTTACCCACCGTCAGCCTCTGAGTGGACGGACGCGTGACCTGCACCGTCTCACATGACCCCAGACCTAATAACTTCTGGAAGCTCCTTGAGAATCACCAGGAAGATGAACATCCACTGGGGTCCACTGGGAGGGGTCCGGGCCTCTCCAGGCAGCCAGAGAGGGAAATCCGGTCTCCTGGGGGGGGGGGACAGTCCCAGGAACCGTAGCTGACTGAGGGAGGGGACCCTGGCCTCTCTGTCACACCAGGGCCCTCAGAGCCGACTAGGTGGAGTGCAGAGGCCAGGCGTCCGCGAGCCCTGCCCTCGAAACCCGCGGGCAGCCCAGCTCCACATTCAGTGAGGTCTCCAGTGTGGGGGGAGGTGGCGGGGGGGGGTTGTGTTGTCCAGACCCCTCGGGCCTTCGGGGCAGGCGTCATGATTGTGGTTCCGGTCTGGGAAAGGGCCGCTTGCCTTTATAGGGGACGAGGGGCCCCAGAGCGTGCTCAGGACATTGTCCCCGCCTGGGGTGTTGAGCCACAGCGGAGGCTGAGAGCCCGGGAGGAAAGGAGGCAGGGAGTTGGTTGGTCTTGTGCGGGACGGGGCTCCTGAGTCTTGGCCGGAGGACACACAGGAAGGGCCTGCCAGGCAGGGCCGCCACGGGCCAGGCTGCAGATACCAAGGCTGCTGCAGGGGGAGGGTGGGGGCGCCGTGGCAGGCGGGGGGCCAGCCCTGGCCCCTCTGGCACTCCTCCCCGCTGAACACTCCCAGGCAGCAGGGAGGCCAGCACTGGCTGCCCTTTTAAGACAAGATGGCAGAGAGAAAAGTAAAAAGTAGCATCTGACATCCTGCAGGAATCTTGGGCAAGAATAGGAACATGGTGATGTGTGTGCCCCTGAACCTGGGATGCGCTCCATGGGGCGGGGGTGCGTGTGTGTGTGTGTGTGTGTGTGTGGCATATGCGTGTGTGCAGAGCTGCATTCTGTCTGTTTGGACACGTGGCAGTGAGGGACCTCTAGGATGACCCGGTGCACATGGAGACCCCGCCGTAGCTGGTGGGGGTCGGGGGTAGCGTGTGGTCCAGTGCTCGGCCATGGGGCTGGTGAGGACAAGGCTCTGAGGTCGGGGTGGACTTGAGCAGAAACCCACTGACCAGGCCCAGGGGCCAGATGGCACCTGGGCAAAACCACCGGGGGCTCGGGGCGGAGCCCGCCCGCAGAGGCATCCTCCTGCACACTGGAAGGCACCGGGCACCACGTCCTTTCAGCACCACCGTCCCCCTGGGGGCCCCTCCCGGCCACCTACTGTACGAATCTGGGAGCGAGGCTTGGGGGCAGCGGGCCCTGGGAGGGCCTTCCCTGGGGCAGGTGGGTGTGTCCTCTGAGTGTGCAGTGCGTGTGCTCAGAGCTGCCCTGGGACTCTCTGTTAGACCGCTTTCAGCCTGAAAGTTTCTCCCTCCCTCTCTCCCCCCGGTCCCCCGTCCCTCTCCTGTCTGTCTCTTCTCAGAGGGTATGAACTGCATGAACAAAGACCACGGCTGTGCCCACATCTGCCGGGAGACGCCCAAAGGTGGGGTGGCCTGTGACTGCAGGCCCGGCTTTGACCTTGCCCAAAACCAGAAGGACTGCACACGTAGGTAGATGGAGGCAAATGGGTCAGACATCCCCACGCGTCTCCTGCCGTTGCTCTGTGGGGGGTCTGTCCGGTCTCTGCAGGACTCGGCCCAGGGTGGGGAGAAAAAGGCAGGGCTCCTAGAGGGTCTGGGGAGGCCTGAGGGACAGGGTGGTGAACCCCAGGCCTGAGGGTCTCCCTCCCGGCATGTCCCCACCCACACAGCCCTGGAACTGGCAAGTTTTACCTGGGGCCCCATACCATGGCCCTGCCAGTGCCTCCTGTGCCCCCACCGCTCCCCCTTCCCCCAGAGACCCATCGCTCTGAGTTCTCACTCTCTGAGGGAACGGAGGGGCTGTGGCACAGGGGTGTACCAGCTCAGGCTCCTGGAAGCTGCCCCAGCCAGTCCTCAGCAGCAGCGGCACAAAGAAGGAAAAGAGCTTGGTCTGGGGGCTCCCAGCCCGGGACATAAGCCCAGAACTCACCTTGCACCCCGGGAAGCCGGGGTTGAATGAGGCCTCTGGCCAAAGGGGCCGCTTTGAGGCTCGGTGTAATGCAGCCTTTCAGTGGGGTCGCCCAGCTTCACGGTGGGAACAGCGGCCAGCAAGCGAAGTAGGACAGGGGCCAGACACACTCAGCTAGTTCTCCAAAGCCCAAGCACGTCTCCACCAGCTGCGTGGGCAGTGCGGGAGCGAGACCTCCGCTCACGGGGCACCGGTGCCCCAAGCGCAGCAGTGCTCACCCGTGTCTGCGGGAGCTGAGGGAGGCCGCCCTGAGCATGCCCAGCCTGGCGGAGATGGGCCCTCCCTGCCCAGCCCGCTTCCCGACGCAGGCGGTGCTGTGGAGGGGCCCGGACCGGCTCCCCGTCGGGAAAGCGGCTGTGCTGGCCACCGCAGGGGCTGCTGCGGCCCACCAGCTCCTGTAAGAAAACAGCCTTGCTTTCCATCCTCCGTCCTGCAGAGAGGACAGCGGCCCTTGTTGGTCCACCATCCCTGGTCTTCGTGATTCTATCAGGGCACCTGCTCTCCGTGGGCACCCTCCACACCTTCCCCAGCTCATGCTTTCCTCCAGCAGTCACCGAGGGTTTGGGGGGACCCACCAGCATTAGACACAGTCCCTGTCTCCACGGAGTTCATGCTCCAGCCCCCATTCATGATCCATCCGTTCCTCAAAGCGAACACGCTTCCTTCCTCCACGGCGAGGTTCCAGACATGGACCCAGCCTTCCTCTTCCTTCCGGCCCACCCTGGGGGATCGCAGTGGTGAACAGGTTCGCAGTTTCCGTCACCCAGGGAAGGGCCACTCAGGGAAGTGCTGCTCCTGCCCTGGGAGTCCTGCCTGACCCTCCTGTGCTCTACACAGATGCACAGACACCCCCGTCGCCGGGCTACCTGCAGGGCAGGAAGTGAACAGCCCTACCCTCCCCAGTCCTCCCTGTTGGTAACTGGGGTGTCCTTAGGAACTAACCAAGGACAGGCCCCTGCGCCACAGCCAGACTTGTCGACAGGCTTGGCCAAACGTAAACACTACTGCAGTGAGCAGGGCTGGCTAACGCCGCCCTGGCCGAGCCCTGGGTGGGGTGCTGGGGAGAGAGCTGCGAGCACTGGCTGGTGGCTGGGGCTGTAGTTGCATCCGGGACAGGTGCCACAGGGGACAGTTTGCTCAGCATCTCCTGAGTGGCCGACCTGGTCTGAGTGATCAGGGACCAGGCAGGGCCCTGGGAGTGGCTAAGACCCCCTACCCCACCCCAACAGAGCAGAGCCCAGCCCTAGCCCAGAAGGCTCTTCCGTAACACACAGCGGCCCCTGCCCCCTGCTCCTCAGCTGGCTGTCGCCCTGCCGATGAAGGGCGCCGCCCTAGATCCTTCCGCATGGTTCCTGTGGCAGGGTTGGTGTCCAGTTAGCAATGGGGTTTTCACTGTAGCCCTTGAGGTCACTTGAGGTCCAGGAAATTCTAGACCTGGAGTTGGGCTGGGGGCGGAGGCCTGGCCTTGCAGCCTCTAGGGACCAGCAAGACCACAGAGGCTCTGCAGCAGACTGTCACCCCTCCAGAGCCCAGGACCCTGCCCAGCAGCACCAGGGAAGGTTTCCCGGCTCTCCCAGGGCTCTAGGCTCTGGGGTCCGTGTCCGTGTACGAGCTGTAGGCTCTCCAGGTGCTCACCAGCTTGGCCCTCGGGGTTCATGAGGTGCACACACACCTGTGTGAGGGAGTGGGGGACCCTGACCATGACCCTCCCTCGCGTGGCCTCCGACACCCCTGCTCTCCCCTCCGCCCCCGTGACGTGGGGCTGTTTCAGGCCGCAAAGGCACGTGATGTCCCACCCGAGGTGGGGCTCTGCTGGGGTCTCCCCTCACCTGGGATCTGTGCTAAGCGGCCACCCCTGGAACCCTGGGCTGCTCTGGGCCTCTTCCTGGGCAGAGGCCTCCAGCTAGCAGGGGTGGCCCGGGGACCCTTCCCTGGGAGACCCTGGACCTCCGTGAGCAAGACGCCTCTCCCTGGCACACGGTCACCACCTGTTTTACATAAACTTGAGTCTATCATTTTTCCCACTTCGGGCTGGCTCCTTTTTGTTCAGCCCCCCTCAGCCGACCCAGGTCACTGACGCTATGGGCCAGTTTAAGACCCTGGGCTGAAGGGCCCCAGTGCTCTGCCCTAGGCATTGCAAGCTGTGTAACATGCTTAAAGAATAGGCCATTTTCAAAACTGCACCGAGGCGGCATTAATTTGCCTGCGTTCTGTCTGTTTGGACATTGCCTTTCGGGAGGAGGGCTTCAAGGGGGGTCCGTTTCAGATGGCTGCAGGCACTTGGTGAGAACAGACGTCCGTGGGGACACCCTTCCACACGCCCCAAGGCATAGCAGAGAAAAGAAAGCTCTCAAGGATGAAGGAAATGAGTGTCCCCTCTCCCCACACTCCCCTCCCCAGAATATACCTGGTGTCACAGACAATCGCCCCATCCTGACAGGCTATTTTAAAGTGTCTTTTGCAGCCCAGAAAGATAACCTTGTCTAGCTTGTCCCTTTCTTTAGCTCACACCATCTCAGTGCCTCAGCTGTATGTTGGTTCTGTCCCAAGCCTAGGTCACCCAAAGTCCATTCTCACCCCACCCATGGCCTGTAGGCAGTGAAGAATTTCATCCAAGACCCTCGAGGGCTGAGGTCCAGGGAAGGTGGGCCTGCTCACTGGTCATCTCCCACCCTCACTTTCCTCCTTGCTCCCTTAAAAAGAGCACCAGCGCTGGGGAACTAATCATTCTTGTTGTCATTCTGTCTACGCATACGTGTGTACACTTTGGGCCTAACTAGTCACCTGTAACTATGGAAACGGAGGCTGCCAGCACAGCTGTGAGGACACGGACACGGGCCCCCTGTGTGGCTGTCACCAGAAGTACGCCCTGCACTCGGACGGCCGGACGTGCATCGGTAAGTGGACGCCTCTGCTGCGCTTGCACCCTGCACCACCCTGCCCCGCACCGGCGTGCTAGGCGGCCCGAAGCCAGCCAGCGCCCCACCCCTGTCCCATCTCCAAGAAGGAAGCTTGCGGGAAACAAGAGCAAGTGAACCCAGAGAACTGGCGGGGCGCTTTCTGCGGGGCTGTGCCCACGGTGATTCCACCCCTGGACCGAGCGCCCCTGCTTTGTATCCCCACGGGTCTCCCACACATCCTCATGCTCGCCGAGGGGGTGGCCCCGGGCATGGGAGGAGGAAGGCGTGTGCGCCTGAGGTGGGCAGCTGCTGCTCCTGAGGTTCCCCGGCTGACGGACGTGGAGCCAGGCAGCAGGCTGGCCCAGCCTCCCGGAGAGGCAGGAAGCGTTCTAGGAGAACCGCTCTGTCTCCAGGCGAGAGTGCCAGGGGCGGGGCCTGGGCCTTCCACCCGCTTTTCCTGCTCTGCCCAGCGGGGCTCTGGCCAGACCCCCTCTCCCACCCAGAGTCCCTTCCTCTCAGACGGCACCCCCTCCCTCCCCGTGCAAGGGGTCTTCGTCTGAGCCCCAGTCACATACTTCCAAGGAGAAGCTTAGATGTTTGTGTTCCCTCGCGCCCTAATCTCCGTAGGCTGTTCCCCACTCAAAAGCACCTTTTCAGCTGCACAAGAGGGGACATCAGGGGTGGTGTCCGTCCACCCCAGCTCCCCGCTCCCTTCCTCTCCCGTGTGGGCAGACTCGAGACACCCGCCAGTCAGTTGCTGTGGCTTATTTTTTTGTTTAAAAAAGAGGTCTCATTTCTTATCGACTAGAAAGCTATTTCTTGAGGGACTTTCAAGTGACAAAAAGAGGTTGACAAGCAAGCAAAGCCATGACACCCAGAGCGTGCTGTCGAACCCTGTCCCCCGTGACTGTTCGCTGGTATGGGGCGTCAGGCGGGGGGCGGGGCCCAGCGGTCCCATCCTAGTCCCTGGCTGCCGCCCGGGTGCTGCTGCTGCGTCGTCCCCCCCGTGTGGCCTCTCCTCTCCAACAGCCGTTTTGGTTTCGTTTTACCTCGTTCCTCCTGCTTTTCTGGTGATGGTCCCTGATTGCCTGTCTTGTCTGATAACTGACATCCATTAATTATTTCAGAGCCAAAAGCCAAACCAAACCAAAATTCAACGCAAAACCCGGCCTCAGACCAGTGTCTCTATTGCAGCCTGATCCCGTCTAGAACCCCCTCTCCCGCCTCCCTTCCTGTCTCTGCTGTCCCCCCTCCCCCGGGGGCTCTCCCTGTCTTGTCCCCTGGGGTCTCCCTCAGTGTTTGCGTCTGCAGTGAAGCCGCCTCTGCCGGCTCCCAGACCAGCGCAAACAGCTGCTGGCCAGACACCCGCCCAGCCTCGTCTAACAGGACTTGTCTTCGTGCACCCAGCTCATCCTTCCTCATTTTCCATCTCGTAGCGTCTGCTGCATGTGAGAGCCCCTGCTCGGATCTCCTCTCTAATGTCCCTGCCCTCGCCCCTCGTTCCCACCCCTCCCCTTAGAAACCCTTGCCCAGACCCAGCTCCTGGGCCGCTGCTGCTGCCTGCCAGCCAGGGGAGCCTCCCGTCTGCCTGCTCCCTGCTCCTTAAGTCCCCCTGGGAGCAAAGGTCTCTGCACATCTCCCGCTGAGCAGAGAACGGGAGCTGGCTCACCTCGTCTTGGCGCAGCCTCCTGCCCAGCGGCCAGCATGCTCCCCGGCCGCCCCGTGGCTCACCCCGCACACCCCTAAAACGACTGACAGCCTCGCAGCCCCACCGGGCACCTGGCGCACCGCTTTCGCCCTCTGTAGACAAGCAGGCAACCAGCGCTGCCCAAATCGACCCCCGGGCTTCTGTCTGTCCAACCGGGTCCATTGTTGTGTGTGTGTGTGTCCCTCTGTATGTCTCGTTCTTAATTTTGCATGAGTGTGTGATGCGCTTTCCTGCCCTGGAGACAGAGTGTCTGCTGTCCAGGCGCGTCCATCACCGGACCTCGCGGCCCTGTCCCCTCCTGCGGTGCCTCGTCCTGTGCCTTCCCTCCAGCTGGAGCCAGGGTTCTCTGGAGGCTCCCTGGGGGCGCTGTCTGCTGCCGTGGCCCTTCCCAAACGCGTCCTGTCTGCTCTGACCTCAGCCGCCTCTTCCGTGTGCGGGTGGCCCCCGTCCCATCTGCCTCCTTCTGTGGTCGTCCCCTTTCTCCACCCCCACCCACCCCACCCCTGCTGCCTCTTCGCTCTGCCCTGAACACGCCACCTTGGAGGTGCCTGGGTTTAGCCCCCTGCGAGGACGCCCCGCTGCCGCATGCTGTGTTGGCTGTGTGTGCGCCACGCCGGAAGGCTGACTGTCTTGGGCCGCGGGAAGTGGGCTCTCATTAACCAGCGGCTCCGTGTTTGTCCCTTACTTGTGTTTTAGAGGAGGATGAGGCTGCAATTGAGCGCTCTCAGTTCAGTGCCACGTCAGTAGCTGATGTGGACAAGCGGGTGAAACGGCGGCTCCTCATGGGTAACACTTTTCTTCCACTTCCTTTGTTGTCTTCGCACCTTTGTTCGCGAGTGCGCGTGTGTGTGGCGTGCGGGGGTCCGCGTGTGTGGTGGCCTGTCCGCCTGTGAGTGTGTGCGGGCGTGTGGGGGCTGTGTGAGGGGGCTGTCCATCTGTGTGGTGTGCTCGCGTGTGTGGGGTCACGTGTGCCCTGTGTGCGTGTGGGGGCTCCACTGCAGATGTGAACTTTTTCCTTTTTAAAGTTGTTTGCCCTTCATCAAACACGTGTATCTCTTTGTGTGTTTGTAGCAGAGAACCCAGAGCCCGGGGCTAGTTGCCCCTGCGTGTAAGGAGGCACGTGCTCTAACCCCTCTCCGCGCGTGCTCGCCGCAGGGACAGTTAGGACCCAGGATCAGCACAGCGGCCCAGAGGCGAGGAAGCAGGCGTCCGGGCTGTTCGGTCCTTAACCGTCCTCTCCCTTAGGAGAGAAGCCACAGTGCGGGGGGGGGGGGGGGGGGGCACACCCACATTCAGGGCTGGGGGACCCTCGAGGCGAGGAGTGGAGTTCTGCCTGCTCACTGTGTAGTTGGGAAACGCGATACCCAGTGAGGGGAGGACTGATTAAAAGCAGGACTCTCTCTGGCAGGGCAGGCCGGATAAAAGCAGGACTCACTCAGCCCCTCCTGGAGGTGCTCCCTGATACTGTGAATGACCGTAGCCCAAGCCTGCCAGGCTGGCGGCTTTGACCCACTTTTCCCCAGTGACCCCTCGGACACCCACTTGCTGTGGGGGCACCACAGGAGGTCAGCTTCACTCCGAGCACCGCCCCCAGCGTGCAGACTCCCGAGCGGCACCGAGGCCTGCCAGCGGGGCTGAGCCAGGAGTGTGAGAAGGGAGGGCGGAGGCGGCAGGGACCGCTCTCCCACCAAGCTGGGTCTGCGCGGCAGGAGGGCAGGTGCGCCTCAATGTCTCAGTCGGGGTTCCGGTCCTGGGGCTGGGGGCCCTCTGGTGCACAGCTGTGGGGTCACCTCGGATGGTCACGGCCTTCTTTGTGGCACTCAGACAGGTCACACCGGCCTTGGGAGCCGTGAGGCCAGCAGGTGCATTTCCAAGTCCCAGACGAGGAAACCGAGGCTCTCAGGGGTGCCCTGGCTTACCTGAGATCACACACCACCCTGAGCTTGGGGCAGTGTGGGTTTTCTTTTCAGAGGTCACGGGACCCTGGAGGTCATGTCCTGAAGGTCCTGGAGAGGTCACCTAGTTTCATTGTCTTCGCATGGACCTCCAAAGAACCCAGGCATCTGGGAAGGAAGGAGGCCTGCATGGGGCCATAGGTCCCATGGGGTGTGGCCTTGTACACTGGGGAGCAGGCTTGAGGCTCATCCTCTGCAGCGGGGCTCAGAGGAGTGAGGAGATCACGGTCCGGCTGGCGGTGCTCTATGCACCCTGAAGTCCGCGAGGGCAGGAAGCACACAGACCTGCTCCTCAGGCGAGATCTCTGAGGGCCAGCCCGGGCCCAGCAGGCAGCGGGTGCCTCTCACCGCGCAGGCCCACTCTCCACACATTCTCTGGACGGGGCTGCCTGGCTGGCTTGAGCTGCCTGGGTCGGCCTGGGAGGGGCTGGAAATGGCCAAGTGGTGGGCGTGGAGGCCCCACCAAGCAGGCATGTCCACCACCCCCCAGAAAGGTGTGAGGCAGTGCTGCGGACCTCCTGGGAAGGTGGCCAGAAGGGAATGGGGGGAACCTAAGAAGTGCGGGTGCTCTGAGTCCCAAGGGGTCCCGGGCCCCTCGGCCTCACTTCCTAGGAGAGGTAGGCGCTGCTGTGGAGGCCTGGGCTCCAGAGCAGGTGGGACCAGTAAGAGCATGGGGGGGAAAGAGGCTGAGCTGAGTGGACATCAAGCAGTGGGCGGTGCAGGGGGTGGGTCGATGAAGACAGGGCCCCTGCACTTGCTTTGTCTAATTAGACTCGGTGGGTAATGGCCCAGAGCCGGGTCCTGGAGCCAGGCCAGGCATGAGGAAGGAGGCGCCCAGAATGCAGCCTCCCTCTCCCTGGGTTTGGGAAACAGATCTGGGGACGCTGCCCAGCGTCAGGAGGGGCCAAGGAAACAGATGAGGATTGGCTTCCCTTGCACCCCCGCCTTTTGATATATATGGGGAGGCCCAAATTAACCAGAATCACCTTCTGGAGGGCAGGCCCCTTGTAGGCCAGGCTTCCCCCGCTAAGTGAGTGTTCTAGGAGAACATCTGTATCAGTGCACCAGCTGGCGCTGTTGTGAGAGGCTGCATTTGGCTGCAGTGAAGAAAATTTTTTAGGACTTTCAATGTGTTTGTCCATTTCATGATGGGCGATTTACGAGCACGCCTGCCCACACCGCGCTGAGAGTTCAGCAGTTTTTGACCAGAAACATCAGGACCCCTGTGCTCCACCCACCCTGTACACCCGGTCTCACCCTGAGTGATGTTTTTTGTTTCCCGGGTGAAAAAAGTCCTCAAAGGGAAACGTTTTGCCAAAGCACTAAAAGGCATCAAAATCGACAGGTTCAGAAACTGTTCTGAGCAGTGGGAAAAACGTCTCGACAGGTGTGTCGCATCAGATGGAGAGGACTGTGAAGGGGACCGGAGTTTAAACACATAAGAATAGATACACAATTTTTATAAATAAATTTTGGGTTTTTCGAGTGCTCCAAGGAAACCCCCCGCCCCAGCCCCTCGGGCCTGTCTTGTCCTCGGGCGGGAGAGACCGCTCCTTCCTCGGGGCTTCCTGCAGCACCTTCCCCCGGGGGCGATGGCCGTGGCCGCCAACTTGTAACCCTCGGGACCGCAATGCAAGCCCCAGTGAGACCCGGCTGCTCCTGGGCTGTAGTAACAGAGGCAAGGGCTGGGGAATAAGGGAGGCGACCATCCCCGTTCTGCCCAGTGCCGCCCGCACACAGCCAGGACACACCCCGAGAGCCCTGCCCCTGCGCGGAGAGAGCAGCCCAGGCCACGCGGGAATCGGTTGGGGCAGCGCTGCTGGCCAGTGGGACGGGGCACAGGCAGTGTAGCCTGGTGGGCCCTCCACTTGGGCCCTTGTTCAGGTCCCGGGAGGGGACAGGGAAAGAACAGGCCTTGGGGGGAGCTTGTTCTATGGCCCAGGAGCAAATGAGAAAGGTCAGACATGGAGAATTTCCACGGCAAGGTCAAACCCTGGGCCCCTGGCTCCAGAGTCTCTGTCCTCAACCACCACTCTGCCCAGCTCCTGACAGGGCAGAGGGGAGCAGCCACTGGGAGAAAAGACTGGGGCCAGGATGCCCCGATGGGCAGGGGTGTCCAGCCTGCCGCCCGAGGGCCATGTGTGGCCCAGGATGGCTATGAGTGTGGCCCGGCACAAAATTGTAAATTTTCTTGAGGCATTATGAGACTTTTGCATGTGATTATGTGTCACAATGTACGTAATGTGGCCCCAGACAACTCTTCTAGTGTGTCCCAGAGATGCCCAAAGGTCGGACACCACGGTCAGGGCCTGGGTTCTGCTAGAGCGGGGCTGTGTGTGAAGTTGCCTGGTAGAAGCGATAGCCTGGCAAGCGTCTTCCAGCCCCAAGATGCCAGTGATCTGCTGTGTGGACGGTGTTTGTTTCTGAGGTGGCTAGGGGAGGGTTGAAAGAGACCCTCTCCAAGTGACCGCAGAGTGGCAGCAGACCGGGGGTGTGGGCCCAGGCGAAGCCAGGGTCCAGGTGTCAGAGAGGGTGGGCAGCCTCCGTGCTGATTTACTCCCCCTGGGGGGTGGGAGAGTGGAGGTTTCACATGCCCTCTTAGGCCGTTTGACCCCGAGCGATTTCAGGAATGCTCTGTCCCCAGGCTGCAGAGGTGCCCACGGTGTCCGCCGCTGGTCCCGGGGGCTGCCTTGCCTTTTTACTCGGCCAGAAGCCAGGACCTGAGCAAACGGCAGGGACATGGAGTGCAAGAGCTAAAGCCTTGGGCCCTCGGTGCCTCTCCTGGAACCTGCCTGCTCACCCAAGGGCTACTGCTCACAGCAGCGGTCAGTCCAGAGGGTGAAGCCCCGGGGCCAAGGCCCTGCCCCGCCCTCGGGGTTCCAGCTGCACTCAGCAGCTGCTGTTTATAATGACCCCCAGTCACGAGCGCAGGCTGTGAGCAGGGCGGGCCTGTCCACTCAGACCTCAAAACCTGTAACCGATTCTAGTGCCCTCGGAAACCAGCGCGGGTGTTTGGTGGGAGGGTCGGCGTGACGCGTCTCGGTCAGCCTGCCGCCTGCTTGCTTATGTGAGACATTTGTGCACGCAGCCGTGTGGCCGTGCGTCCCCGGGCCCTGCTCTCGGCTCGGCAGGACTGCGGAGACCTGGGCCACCTGTTGGCGCCAGGCCTTTACCGAGCTCCTTTCCCACAGCGGCCTGGGGCCAGGCGCCTGGTCTGCCTCCTGCCGCTGCTGCCACCAAGTGCCACAGCCTCAGCACTTTAAAACGGCCCAAACGCATTCTTCTCTGTAAGTCAGAAACGTGACTTGGGGCTCACGGGGCTGAAGTCACGGTGTCTGCAGGGCCACATTCTTTCTGGAAGCTCTTAAGAGTGAATCCATTTCCTGGCCCTTTCAGCCTGGAGGTCCCCCACTCCCGACCCCATCCCTGGGATCACAGCACCCGCCCCCCTTGTCTTCAGAACCCCAGTGCGGTATCTGGCCAAGCGGCCACCGCCGCCACCATTCCCTCGTCCACCTGAAAGGACCCTGTGACCACGCCGGGCCCTCCCAGAGAATCCACAGGAATCCCCCTCACCGGGGCCTTAGTCTGTAGATGCGCCTGCGCAGACCCTCTGCACAGTGTCACTGGGCATTAAGACACAGACATTCGAAGGGGCTCTGAGTCTGCCAACCACAGATGGCTCACTCTCGGGCTGGGAGGAGCCCCCCGAGGCACAGCCCCCGCCCACCCTCTTCCCTGCCTTATCCTCAGGGCCACCAGTCCACGGCACAGGGAGGGCTGGAGGCGTGGGACGCACTGGCCAGGCCAGGAAGCCCCACTGCCCCCCGG